CTTGAGCTGAAGAGCTGAGGGACAGCGCCCAGGCCCAGAGTTCAAGCCCCACGACCACCACCACCAACAACAAAAATGTTGATAGGCTTGTCTAAATGTCCTCAGAAAAGGTTAAATTATAGCCTCACCAGCAAGGAGTTGAGGGCTCCTCTAGAGTTGGCTAATAGAGGCTATTGTCTAACTTTTTATCTTTGCCTGACTGATAAGAGAAATCCGCATCTCCTGCTTGGCAATCTAGGTTCCCGAGTTCAGGTTTTTGTTGCCTTTTTTCCCCCCTTCCCCCCCACTCATCTTGAGCAATTTTTTCCATACCCCAGAGCCATTTCCATTTCTCCATGTTCCAAACTAGTTTTCTAGTCCTTTGGGCTCAGGTTGAGCAACTTTGGATTTCTAAGCACCGGCTTTCTCAGGTTAACAGGTTGATTAGATCATGACTCAGGCATCACCTGAGCCCACCCTGGCTCAGAGTTTATCTTGACTTCGAGGAAAGGAGATTTTGTTCAGGGAGGTTCCACGGAGAATGGAGGCCCTACCTCTGCTTTCCTTCTTAATCTAGAGAACCTGTCCCAACGTCTCACCCTTGCCTGAAAACAGGCAGTGATGTAGCCTTGTGCCCCAGATGTAAGCTGTTTGCCGGCCAGCTTCTGAATCAGGGTCCAAGTGAGCTGGGCGGGGCCCAGAGCAGGTAGCCTGGAGCGAAGATGAGCCGGCCTTCCTCCTTCCCAGTGCACCGCCCGGACACCCACCCACGGCTCTGAAGCTCCCCCGGGGCCTGTCAATGCAGGGCCTCGCCATCCTGCCTAGCCAGGGAGAAAGCTCTGCATACAACAGACTGGAGCCACCTGGGTTCCAAAGGCTGCAAGATGAGGCTGGGAGTGGCCCTGAAGAGACTGGGGACTGGTCGTGCAGGCCATGCGGCAGCAGGACGGGCTCTTGCTCCATGCCCTTCTCTCATGGCAATTTCCTTTCCTTCTTTAGCATCTGCAAGTGTTCCTCCTGCCTCCCACTCTCCAAGAAAAGCCACCGTCTTGCCTGGCACACAGGGGGCCCTGTGGGATCTGGGCCCTGAAGCCTAGCAGAGGCCCCTGGCAGCCATCATGGACTGCACTACAAATGGCCCAGCCACCTGGCTCTGCCCTCCTAACTTTCCCCTCTCCAGGTCCCTCTCTTCCCTGTCCGGCCTGGGTCTCACTTTTTTGGGTCTGTGATCACTTTTTTTTTTTCTCGGTCATGGGGCTTGAACTCTGGGCCTGGGCGCTGTCCCTCAGCTCTTCAGCTCAAGGTGAGTGCACTGCCTCTTGAGCCACAGTACCACTTCCGGTTTTCTGGTGGTTCATTGGAGGTAAGAGTCTCATGAACTTTCCTGCCCGGGCTGGCTTTGAACCTTTATCCTCAGATCTCAGCTTCCTGAGTAGCTAGGATGACAGGCCTGAGCCACTGGCACCTGGTTTTTTGTTTTTGTTTTTTTTAATGTTGGTACTAGGGCTTGAACTCGGGGTCTGGGCAAATTCTGCTCAAGACTATTACTTGAGCCACAGCTCCATTGCTGGATTTTTGGTGGTTACTTGGAGGTAAGACTCGTGCCCAGGCTCGCTTCAGACCCTGAGCCTCACTCCGACCTCAGCCGCCTAAGGAGCTAGGTTGCAGGTGTGAGCCGCCGGCGCCCAGCAGGATTCTAGTATAACAGGAAAAAAGCAGGGAGAAATGGACAAGGGAGGAAACATTTCCTGCTCGCAATACAAGAAACGAGGTAAAAACTAAAAGAAGGAAAAGAAAGCTGGAAGTGCCGGAGAACTGGGTCAGCTCGGGTGGAGGACTCAGTCCCCAAGCAGAAGAGGAAGGTGTCTGAGACCTGGGCTGCCGGTGCAGAACTGGGCGGGGCGGTGGGCGGGGCTCTACCTGCAGGGCGGGGCCGCCGAGCGCCGCCACGCCCCGGAGGCGTGGCCTGGAGTTGTAGGCCGGGAGGGGCCCTCGGCCCGCGGCCTCTCGGTTCACCTCGCTGGGGCGGTGGGTGGGCCAAGGGGCCGTCCAGCCGCCCGCTCTCTGGGCGCGGCCCGCTTCCCACCTCCAAATACTCGCTGGTCTCCGGGCCAGAGGCGAGGGCGGTGGGCCAGGGCGCCAAAGGCCCGAGCCAGTTCGCTTCAGTCCGTGGATTGTCATTGTGAGGTGATGGAGGCTGACAAGGCCCGAGCCGTGGGAGTGCGGGCTCCCTGCCGCGTCTTCCGTCCCCCCTCCGTCCATCCCTCCCTCGGTCCATCCCTCCCTGCCGCGTCTTCCATCCCTCGCTCTCTGCTCTCTCTCCGTCCCTCCCAGCTCCACCGCGAGTTGTTCAGTTCACTTTCCCCCACGGGCAGTGCACTCCACTGCTGCACTTTTTCACACTTTCCCCTCGTGCCCTGTGCCTTCTCCACCTCCTCCCAAAGATACACCAGTGCACCACACATAAGGTAGAATCATCAAAAAAGAAGAGTTTCGGGACTGGGAAGGTGGCTCAGTGGTAGAGCGCTTGCCTTGCATGCATGACACCCTGGGTTCGATTCCTCAGCACCACCTAAGCAGAAAAGGCCAGGAGTGGTGCTGTGGCTCAAGTGGTAGAGCGCTCGCCTTGAGCTGAAGGACAGCGCCAAGGCCCAGAGTTCAGGCCCCACAACTGACCAAAAAGATTTCTTTTCCTGTCTTGGGGTTCACTTCGATGCATACTGTATCATGGAAACACGAAGAGGTGTGGAGACGCCACGCCTGTGTGATTCTGAGTATCCTCTTTTGGTCTCACTGTGTGCACATCTAGAATCTTGTGTAATTGCTGACATCAATTTAAAGGAGGGGGGAGCCAATCGTTTTTCTTTTCCTTTTCTCTTTTGAGTGGTAGGTGACCTGTGGCCTAGGGAGGCTGCGGCTGTCTCGGAACGTCTGGAATTGCTTCTTGGTGCCATGAGCCCTGGAGGCTGTGAGCAACACGGCCAGCGCTCAACTGTAAGGTTCGTCCAAAACGGTGCATGGGCGTTGCACACTGGACGGACCTGCAGCCAGGGACAGGCACAGACGCATCCTCACCACGGTTACCACGCCACGCAGCACCGGCCCTCACATGCAGCATCCCTGCTAAGGGGTGTTTCTTGGCAACATAGGGGTCCTAGTGGCCTCTTTGGGCGTCTTGAAGTCTAGACCCACGTTCTTGGGAGTATGAGGGAGTCCTCTTTGCCTCTGCCTCCCAACAGAACTGACCCCCCCCATATATAATTTTAAATTTATTTTTGGTTACAGTTCTTCAGCTCAAGGTGAGTGCTCTACCACTTGAACCACAGCGCCATTTTCCATTTTCTGAGTGGTTTATTGGAGATAAGAGTCTCATGGACTTTCCCGCCCAGGCTGGCTTTGAACTGTGATCCTCAGATCTCAGTCTCCTGAGTGCTAGGATTACAGGTATAAGACACTGATGCCTGGCTTGTGAGTCTTTTTTTTTTGGGGGGGGGTCTGGTCATAGGGCCTGAACTCTGGGCCTGGGCGCTGTCCCTCAGCTCTTCAGCTCAAGGCTAGCGCTCTACCACTTGAGCCACAGCGCCTCTTCTAGTTTTCTTTTTGTTTATGTGGTGCTGAGGAATCGAACCCAGGGCCTCAGGCATGCAAGGCAAGTGCTCTACCACTGAGCCACCTTTCCAGCCCTGGCTTGTGAGTCTTAAATGCAGGGCCTGGGCACAGTCCCTGACTTGTTTCCACTCAAGGCTAGCTCTACCACTGAACCATAGCTCCACTTGTTTTTTTTGGTAGTTAATTTGAGATAAGAGTCTCGAGGGCTTTCCTGCCTGGGCTGGCTATGTACCACAATCTTCAGATCTCAGCTTTCTCAGTAGCTAGGATTATAGCTGTGAGCCACCAGTGCCTAGCTCCTTTTTATATTGTGAAAGACGGTCAGCTACTTTGAGCCACAGCTCCACTTCAGGTTTTGTGTGTGTGTGATTAATTGGGAGAGTCTCACGCTTTCCTTCCTTGGCTGGTTTTGAACCATGATTCTCAGATTTCAGTCACCTGAGTAGTTGGTATTACAGGTGTGAGCCACTAGTGCCTGGCTATTTTCCTATTTAACATATTTACTTTAATAGAATTTTGGGGGTGTAGAATAGGGTTTGAAAGCAGGGTCTCATACTTGCTAATCAAATGCTCTCATTTGAGCCACATCATCAGTCCTAATTTTATTTCTTCTTCTGAGACTATGTAGTCAGGCTGGCCTTGAACTCAGGAGCCAATGGGTCAGATCTGGCTCTTAGCCAGGTGCTGGTGGCTCATGTCTGCAATTTTAAACTACTCAGAAGACCGAAATCTGAAGATCACAATTCAAAGCCAGCCTTGGCAGGAAAGTCCCTAACCTTTTCTTTTCTTTCTGCCAGTCCTGGAGCTTGAATCCAGGACCTGGGCACTGTCCCTGAGCTTCTTTTGCTCAAGGCTATCACTCTACCACTTGAGCCACAGCACCACTTCTGGCTTTTTCTGTGTATGTGGTACTGAGGAATTGAACCCAGGGCTTCATACATGCTAGGCGAGCACTCTACCGCTAAGCAGTATCCCCAGCCCCCTAATACTCTTATTGCCAATTAACCTCCAAGAAGTCTATGGTGGAGCTGTGGCTCCAGTGGTAGAGCAAAAAAGCTAAGAAATAGTGTCCAGGTCCTGAGTTCAAACCCCACTACTCTCCCTACACCCCACACACATTTTGGATCCAAAAAGGGCCCTGAAATAAATCAGCCAGGCACACACCAGGCCCTGGTGCCCAGATGCTGGGGGCAGGTGCTCGGGGGCAGGGCGAGGGTTTGAGGAAGCAAAGGTGACAGGGCCGCGAGCGCCAAGCCTCTGAGTCTCAGCCAGAGTTCTCTGAGACTGAGGTCTGGCTAAGTAGCTCCGCTAGCCTGAAGTTTGGGACCCACTGGCCTCCCGAGGGCTAGGTTCTAGGTGTATCCTCCACACCGGCTGGCCGACAGGAGGGGCTTGAACTCTGGGCTGAGTGCTGTCCCTGAGCAACTTTTTGCCTCGGGGTAGCCCTCTACCAAAAGAGCTCCAGCTGCACTTCCGCCTTTTCTGTGATTAACTGCAGATAAGAGTCTCTGGAACTTTGCTTCTGGGGCTAGTTCAAGCCCGGTCCACCAGAGTTAGTTTGGCTTGTACCCAGCTGAGAGATTATTTTTTTTTTTTTAGTTGGTTGTGGGGCTTGAACTCAGGGCCTGGGTGCTGTCCCTGAGCCTCTTTGTGCTCAGGGCTAGCTAGCACTCTACCATTTGAGCCACAGTGACACTTCCAGTTTTTGAGTGGTTTATTGGAGATAAGTTTCAACAGGGACTTTTCTGCTGGGTCTAACTTCAAACCACAATCCTCAGATGTCAGCCTCCTGAGTAACTAGGATTAATCCTCAAGACGTCAGCCTCCTGAGTAACTAGGATTAATCCTCAAGACGTCAGCCTCCTGAGTAACTAGGATTACAGGTGTGAGCCATCAATGCCCATAGGATATTTTTTAAAGTCTATTCTTTTTAAAATTCATTTTATTTTTTGTTTATGTGGTACCTTGGAATCAAACCCAGGGCCTCATGCATGCTAGGCAAGCACTCTACCACTAAGCCACATTCTTCCTAACCCTGACAGCATTTTGTATGTCTGTCAGTTGTAGGACTTGAACTCCGGGCCTGGGCGCTGTCCCTGAGCTCTTCAGCTCAAGGTGAGTGCTCTATCACTTGAGCCACAAAGCCACTTCTGGTTTCTGGCTAAATGGAGGTTAAGAGTCTCGCAGACTTTCCTGCCCAGGCTGGCTTTGAACGGTGATCCTCAGATCTCAGCCTCCTGAGTAACTAGGATGACAGGCGTGAGCCACCAGTGCCCGCTGTGGCTCAAAATGGTAGAGCACTAGCCTTGAGTAAAAAGAGTCCTGAGACAGTGCCCAGGCCCTGAGTTCAGGCCCTAAAACTGACCAAAAAATTCAAATGGGAGACCAGAGGCATGGCTCAAATAGTAGAGAACCAAACAGCTGTGAGAAAGCCAAATGATTCATGGCAGCGGGATTTAGACAACTCTAAGCTATCCTATTTTAGAGCTGCTCGCCTACTGAGGGCCCATGTCATTTGATGCTGCTGTCATCCATTCCCAAGGGGGAAGCAGAGCACGAAGGCCACACCTGCGGTCACCACGGTCCAGCTTCACCAGCTTCCTCTCACTTATCTTGGAGATAGGGTGCCAGATAAAAGAGGTCAATTAAATGTGAATTTCCCAGGAGCAGCACTAGGATTTTAGCATAAAGTTGCATAGAACATTACTTTACCTGAAATTCTGATTTCACTGGCCCCTACCCAGAAACTGGTTCTGACCTGCTATCACACAATCTCCAGCCAGTCACCTGTTACCTACAGGCAGTAACCAGAACCTTCCAGAAAGCTCTTCCTTCCTATGACGACCCTTGTAGGAAGGACATGCCACCTACAGCCAGGCCAGTGACTTCCTGAAAGTGGACAGTCAAGTTCACGCCTCCATTCCCATGACCAGGGACCCCCCCACACCCCCACACCCCCGTGCAGTTCTGCCCCCCTCCCCCATCTCGATGGTGTGGCCCCCCCTCCCCCATCTCGATGGTGTGGCCCCTCCCTCCCCCATCTCGATGGTGTGGCCCGGCTCTCTGTGGGGTTTGCTCTCCTTCACCTTTCTCTGATGCAGCTGTCAGGCACTGGCGGAGATGTGTTTATAAAAACGTTCACCCCTGCGCTGTGGAAACTCACTGGAAACAAAAGTTGCTCTGTCCTTACCGGAAGCACCACGCAGACCTGAGAGCATGTTAACTCGCCAAGAGGCTGGTGGGTGCCGAGGAGTTTTCTGGTGCAAGGAGTAGACTGGAAGAGCAGCTTGAAATGTTAGGTTTCAACCAAAAACACGGTGACCCAAAACACATGGTTTAATGGTTTATGGCGATGGGCTGTCTCTGAGGCTGGGGGCTGGGCTTCACTTTCATTTCTATTTTTTTTGCCAGTTCTGGGGCTTGAACTCAGGGCTTGCACACTGTCCCTGAGCTGCTTTTGCTTAAGGCGAGCACTCTACCGCTTGAGCCACAGCGCCACTTCTGGCTTTTTCTGTGTCTGTGGTTCTGAGGAATTGAACCCAGGCTTCATGCATACCAGGCGAGCGCTCTACCACTGAGCCACCTCCCCAGGCCCAGGCTTTCCTTTCTTCTTAGTCCTCTCCTCATAGGTTATTTTTCCTTTGGGGCGTGGGGGCTGCAGGCACTGGGGGTTGAACTCAAGGCCTGTCTCCCTCCTGCTTGGCTTTTTGACAAGTCTCTATACCACATGAACTTCTGGCTTTTCGCTCATTAATTGGAGATAGGAGGCCCATGGACTTTCCTGTCCCAGCTGGCTTTGAACCAGGATCCTGGGAGCTGAGAAGTCTGAGCAGCTAGGCTGACAAAGGAGAGAGCTGGGTGGGGGATGGGAGCCGCTCCGGCTACAACAGCCACTTTTCTCAATAAGGAATGTGTAGGTTTGGCCACAATGAAGGCAGGTAACTTTGCCACTGCAGATAACATGCTCTGTGGCTTGTTCTTAGTTACAGGTCACTTCCAGTTACGGACAGATTTAAAACAAATGACCCAAGCTGCTTGGGTGTCGAGCCCTGGAGTCACTCTCTGCACTGGCTTCAGTGTTCCCGGGGAAACCTGGCCCAACTGGCCGGCTAACACCCCACTGCACACGGCACTGAGGCTAGGCGGGGACCCCCTCTGCCGGGCACCCCTCCGCCCGGCCCGCCTGGCTCTGGGAACCCCCACGGCCGCCTCGGTGAGAGGCCTCCAGTGTGAGCTGCGGGCTCCAGCCTGAGCCCAGCGCTTCCCTTCCTGACCTAGAATGCTTCCACACGGCGAGGGCTTCACTTAATGTGTCCAAGAGGCACAAATTGCAACATTTAGACTTGTAACCAGAGTCCAGGACTCCAGTGACAGACACTGGTGAGGTACAGTTAACTGAGGTTTGGAATACAATGAGGGAGAGGCTGGGCACTGCTGGCTCACGCCTGTCATCCTAGCTACTCAGGAGGCTGAGATCTGAGGATCGAGGTTCAAAGCCAGGCGCCTGGCAGGAAAGTCCCTGAGATTCTTTTTTTTTTGGGGGGGTCCGGTCGTGGGGCCTGAACTCTGGGCCTGGACGCTGTCCTTTAGCTCTTCAGCTCAAGGCTAGCGCTCAACCACTTGAGCCACAGCGCCCACTTCCGGCTTTTTTCTTTTTGCTTATGTGGTGCTGAGGAATCGAACCCAGGGCCTCAGGCATGCAAGGCAAGCACTCTACCACTGAGCCACCTTCCCAGCCCAGTCCCTGAGATTCTTATCTCCAATAAACCACCAGAAAACCGGACGTGGTGCTGTGGCTCAAGTGGCAGAGGCTGGCCTTGAGCTGAAGAGCTGCGGGACAGCGCCCAGGCCCCGAGTTCAAGCCCCCAGGGAGGGGCGTGGCGGAGACTGGAGGTGCCAGGCTCAGTCCTGGCCCATTTGGCCCAGGCCAGGCAGCGGAGGCAGCTGGGGCAGCACTGTCCTCTGGCACCATCCTTGAGAGGCGGACCCAGCCATCTGCCTGGCTCCAAGGTGGGGGAGGGGGAGGAGGAGATGGGGGAGGGGGGGCTGAAGCACACCAGCACTGGGGGTGGGGGAAGAGGGGCTGGGCCTGTTTTCCAGGAGGCCTAGCTGGCCAAGCGGCCGTCAATGCTGTGGCCAGAAGCCGGGCTGTGGGACAGACAGGACCTCCCACTCAGTAACTACCTCTGGAGCTGGCCGCCGGACCCCAACTTGAGCAAATGGTATTTAATGAAAACACGCATTATAGCCTCCCAGTTGGATAAATTATGAAATTTATTTATACTTCACCTTTTAAAGGCCAGAACAAATTTCGCTTTCTGGAAAATCATCTTATTAGAAATACATGAAGTGCACTTATACAAGGAGGAAGTTTCTGGCCCACTGGGGAGGCAGCTGTGCTCTTCTGGGCCCTCGGATGGAGGCCCCGCCAGAGATTACAGTGACACCATCTTTCTGGTACTAAGTGTAGGAGCAGCAGGCTCTCCCCTAGTGAGAAGGAGAGCAGCTCCCCCCTCCACGGCCCTGGCCCCAGCCAGCTCCTACTCTCAACCCCAGCCACGGGCCACACCTTCCATATTCAGCCTAGAGATGTGAAGCATGCAAGAACGAACCCAACCCGCTGCCCCCTTCAGGTGCAGGAGCTCCGCCTGCCTGCAGATCGACACCAGCACTCACTGAAGCCGGTGCAAGCGTCTGAGTGCAATGAAGCACGCTCCCAGGGAAAGCTGCTCTTCCCTGTGCTGCCCAGCGGCGCGGACAGCGGTCCCCCATCAGAGGGCCCCCTGCAGGCCTGGGGACAAGAATGTGAGTGCCCTTCCCTCCTGGCACCTGACCACCTCCCCACTTGAGAGACGGCACACTCCAACCTGCCTGACCTGCCACCCGGCCCTCACGTACATGCTTCTGCTAGACTAACCTAAAAAGGCGCCATGCAGACATTTAAGATGGAACCTGCACATTCTAAGGGTGTGCAAAAAGCACAGGAAAGCTGGGCACTGGTGGCTCACACCTGTAATCCTAGCTATTCTGGAGACTGAGGTCTGAGGATCACAGTTTGAAGCCAGCCCAGGCAGGAAAGTCCATGAGACTTATCTCCAATAAACTACTCAGAAAAATCCCGCAGTGGGGTTGTGGCTCAAATGGTAGAGCACCAGCCTTGAGCAAAAAGAAACTCAGGACCAGCGTCCAAGCCCAGAGTTCAGCCCCAGGACCAGCAAAAAAAAGCAGCAGCATAGGCCAATTAATCAAAGCTTCCAGCATCAGACTGCAAGAAACCCAGAAATGTTCATCCCCAGAGGGCTGTTCACAAGCTTTCTGGCTGCTCCCAAAGACCCCCCTGGGAAGTTCCGCCCGTCTGCCGTGCTGCGCCACGGCCAGGTTCACACACCCAGGGATGAGACAGGGGACACTTGTTTTGTTGTGCTATTCACGACCAAGAGAAGGTCCTGGCTGGCTCGGAGGACCTCAGAGATGAACACCGGGTGAACACACGGGAAGCAAGAACATGTGGAGGTAAAAGCTGGATTATTCTACAGAACAGGAGGCACAAGTTCCAGGAAGCAGCTGAGGACCAGTAAGATGAGGCCAGGTGACAAGGGGGCTCACTGTGGGAAGACAGCCTGGCAAGGGCCCCCGAGGACAGGGGCTCCAACCTGGGGACCCACGGCCCGGCTTGTCCCAGGTATGTCGTAGGGAAGGGTAGGATTCAGAGGTCTACACTCAGCACGCGGTGGAAGCTCTACAACACGAGACAGATGGCAATGACCTGCTACTGGTCCACGAGGGAGCGCTGCAAGACCTGGTTCATCATGTCCTCTTCATCCACATCATAATCCTGGGGAAAAACAGACACGGGGCCTCTGAGAAGAGTCTCACTGAGCAGGACCTTGGGGCCACCGGGCCGGACCACACCTGCAGTACAGCAGAGAACTGGCAAATCACTTCATTCTTAGCAAGACGGCAGAGGCAGGGACGGCAAGTGCTGGTGCACACCAAGCACACAACATGCCTCACTTAGCTCGTCGGAGCCAGACACACCCAGTTCTGGTGCTGCTCCCAAGTGCTGGCCTCGGTGTCTGTGCAACAGACGCTGTACCAAAGCCAACTAACCACACCGAATTACAGATGCATGACAGCCAGCACGCCTGTCTGCAGCATGGACCGAAAGTGCAGTTATCCCGCAACTGCGCTTCAGACTCTCGACGAATATGCTTTATGACAATGTGGGAAAGAACTTTCTTCCCACATTCTGAAACACCGCCGTCAAGAACAAACATTTAAGCCAGACACCGGCAGCTCACGACTGTCATCTTAACTACTCAGAGATCTAAGGATCACAGTTCAAAGCCAGCTCAAGCAGGAAAGTTTGTGAGACTCTTATCTCCATTAACCACCAAACGGCCAGAAGTGGAGCTGTGTCTCAACTTGCAGAGTCAGCAAAAAACAGTGCTCAGGCCAAGTTCAAGCCTCAGGACCAACAGAAAAAACAAAAAACAAAGAGCACAGACACTGGGAGTGAGAGCCGGAGTGGGGGCTTCGTAAGTACCTCCTTTTCCTAAGAGTGAAGGAGGAGGGACGACGAGGGAGCTCAAGTCCTGGGACCAGCATGAGCAGGCACACAGGCACGCAGGCGCACACACGCACGCACGCACACACACACATACACACAGACCAACGCGCACACCTCACCGTGTCTGCCTAGATGACTACACAGCCCACCCGACACCTCAGCACGTCGCTCGCAGCACTGCCGAGTCCCTCCCCTAGCCACAACTGGAGTGGCGTGTCACCACGCTGAGGAGGCCCAGACTTACCACAAACGTGTCGTAAGAAAACTGGTGCCGGCGCTGGATGTGCTGAATGAAGTTGGCGCTGCGGTAGCTGGGGTCCCCCCAGGGCATGGAGGCACAGATGGGACAGACCTGTCCGTGAAGAAGAGGCCTCTGAGACAACGCACTGGCCTCGGCCGCCAGCATCAGCGCCTGGCCCCTACCTCCCGGGACACACTTCCTGACACCGCAGTCCAGGGTCTGGTCACTCATGTGGGCGAGCATTCCAAACCGCTGCACAGCTGGACGACAGTGGCTCACGCCTGTAATCCTAGCTTCTCAGGAGGCCAGGATCCAAGGATGGCGGTTCCTAGCCAGCCTGGCAGGAAAAGTCCATGAAACTCTTCTCTCGAATCCATCACCGAGAAAGCCACAAGTGGCTCTGTGGTTCGAGTCTTAGAGCGCTTAGCTTTGAGCAAAAGGGACCAGGCCCAGAGATCAAACCCCAGGGCTGGCAAAAAACAAAAACAACCACATTGTGAGGCTCCAGCTCTAGGTAATGGGTGGAGTAAGAAGGCGTGACCCCGCCCTTGCTGAAGTCCCGCTGTAGTCAGAGGCCAGCCCTGCGGAAGGCCAAAAACACACTCTTCTAACCTAGCACAAAGATGGGCTAAAGGCACCCCGAAACCAAGGAACAGATGAGCGAGGCCAGGGAAGTGAAAGCAGCCTGCTTGCCATGTGTCCTGATGCACAAGTGCGCACATGGAGCGAGCAGGCTGCTCGTTCTTCGGGCTGCCCCTGAACCTGCTTCCCTCTGCACCCCTGGCACGGCAGCCCCGTGACCAGCGTGGTGCAGCACTCTGTGCCCTGAGCACAGGCAGCAAGGGCACTTTCTCTCATGCCAGGCAGCGCAACCCCCCATTTCTCCCCCCCCCACCCCCCAGGTCTGGTGCTGACTTCTCTGAGGCCGAGGCAGAGATCTAGGCAGCTAGCTGACAGACTGGGGTCATGGCTGGGCACTGACCCCTCCCACTTCCTGAACCCAGGCTCTGCTCCCAACTTCTGACTTCAGGTAGCACTTGGAGCCTAAGTTCCGATTGCTCATCCGTGCTAGAACAGTGGACGCCGGCCCGGGACACAAATGCTCAGTGTTCCTCGATTCATCAACTGCCTCCCCAAACCCAGGGCAAGTCACTTGATTCCAGTTTTCAAGTCCACAGAATCTTTGCCTTCCTAAACTCAGGGGGCCCACACCCAGGCCTGCCAGGTCCCCCCTCCCACTTGCAGGAGGAGGAAGGAGTCTGAACAAGACCCCTTCCAATGAGCTCCCATCTTCTTTTTTGGATTGGTCAAAGGGCTTGAACCCAGGGCCTGGGCACTGTTGCTGAGCTCTTTGCTCAAGGCTAGTACTCTACCACTTTGAGCCACAGTGCTACTTCTGGGTTCTGTGGTTAACTGGAGATAAGAGTCTCATTGACTCTTCTGTCTAGGCCAGCTTTGAACCATGATCCTCAGACTTCAGCTTCCAGAGTGGCTAGGCTGGCTGGCATGAGCCTCCAGCTTCTGACAGCCTACTTCTTACACAAGGACCTAACTACACACAAAAAAAGCAAGTAAATTTTACCCAGGAAAAATAGCAGGGGCTGGGAAGGTGGCTCAGTGGTAGAGTGCTTGCCTTGCATGCCTGAGACCCTGGGTTCGATTCCTCATCACCACGTAAGAAAAAAGAAAAAAGCAAGAAGTGGCACTGTGGCTCAAGTGGTAGAGCGCTAGCCTTGAGCTGAAGAGCTGAGGGACAGCGGCCAGGCCCCAGAGTTCAAGCCCCATGACCAACAATAAGAAAAGAAAGGAAAATCTAAAGCAGAAAGATTGAGTCCAAGAGTTGAGTTAGAGACCAGCTTGGGAAACATAGCAAAGGCTGTTTCAAAAAAAAAAAAAAGGAAAATGCTTACAAAGTCCTAGATATAATGGAAAACAAGGACCCCAAGAATAGCATCACATTTCAGCAGACACAGAAGGGAAAACAGCCAACAACCAGAGCCGAAGGGCAGAGCTATGGGATGCTCTCCACCATCGGCTACCTCTCTCTTCTTCCCTCCAACTCAGTTTTTTCTTTTTCTTTTTTTGGTTGGTCGTAGGGCTTGATCTCTGGGCCTGGGCGCTGTCCTCAGCTCTTCAGCTCAAGGCTAGTGCTCTACCACTTGAGCCACAGCTCCACTTCTGGCTTTTTCTACTGATGTGGTGCTGAGGAATCGAACCCAGGGCCTCATACATGCTAGGCAAGCACTCTACCACTGAGCCGCCTTCCCAGAAACTCTTTTTCTTTTTGAGCACAAAGAGGCCCAGGCTCCAGAACCCGCAAAAAAAATGTTTTTAGGGTACACTAAAGTATTTAGTGGGCAAAGGGCCATGGTACTTAGCTTAATTCCAAATAGTTCAGAAAATATGCATATATAAAATATGGCCAAGCAAATATGGTAAAAGGTGTGTGTCAATCCTGGGGCTTGAACTCAGGGCCTGAGAGCTGTACTTGAGCTTTTTTGCTCAAGGCTGGTGCTCTATCACTCGAACCACAGCTCCACTTCTGGCTTTTTGCTGGTTAACTGGAGGTAAGTCTCATGGAATGTCTTGCCTGGGCTGGCTTCGATCTACGATCCTCAGATCTCAGCCTCCTGAGTAGCTAGGATGACAGGCGCAAGCCACCAATACCCCAAAGTAAAATGTTATTTTCTAGCTGAAGAACCATCAGAGTTCATTGTACTAATTATGCCAATTTTTTTTGTAAGTTTGAGGTGTTTCCCTTTCTATTAAAAAATAAATAAATAAAAAATTAAAAAAAATTAAAAAAAAAAAAGGTCCCCTTACCACAGGTTTGGTGTCCGTGCTATGGGACAATCTGCAGTGCTCCACCAGCCCTTCCTGGTCAAAGTTCTTCTCGGGGCAGTAAGGACAGGGAAAGGTGTATCGGTTTGGGACGCTCCTGAAAGATGAAAAATGCAACCTCATGTCTGAACTGAACATGAGTGCCCGCTGCCCCCAATACTTGCATTCTTGATTATACTTCCCTCCATTTCCCAAATCCACACACTTGCCGAACATCACCCACTGAGGGAGGCCCAGTCACTCACCTGGGCTGAAGGGATGCATCCTTAGTGGTGGCCTTCACACCTTCCATGATGTAATTCTGGTATTTGGAACAGGTAGCCACGTGGGCCCGGATTTTAGACAGGAAGAACTTGATGAGAATCAGAGCCCACAGTTAGTGAGGACCTTATACCAGGCATAGTCCCAAAGCAGGTTGATAAAAACTAGACCTCCACCCCCAGCGTACAATCTCAGCACCCTCCTATGCTAGTGGACAGAAGCTCTGTCAAGTGTAGGTTTTCCACTCCTGTCCAGGCTCAGGTTTCACCAAATCACAATTTCCATTCTGAAGTAATTCTACAGCAAGTTTGCTTTGCTTACAAACATGCTTTCTGCTTACAGCTGGGCTCCAAGCCCAGGTATGTGTTAAATATTTTCTACCCTGCACTAAAATCGATCCTCTTCTAGCAGTCAAGAGCCATATTCCACGCTTCTTACAGCACAGAAAAATGCACACTGAAGCATAAGAGATAAAGGCTAGTAACCTTGAAAGTATCAGATTGTGATCAATGATCTTAAAAAAAAAATTGAAGCTGTGTAATAGTAAGATGAAAAATAAGAAAATAAAACAGAAAACTTCAGGAGTGGTTCTGGGTTTGGGGCCTCATACATGCAAACCGCGTGCTCTGCCGCTACCCTGTGTATGTGTGCACGTGTGCAGTACTGGGAGTACTGAGGAAGGAACTCAGGGCCATGCGCTCACCTGAGCGGCTCTACCACTCAGCTTCACCTCCAGATGTTTTGTTCTTGTCACCTCTGAGATGAGGTCTTGCTATTATGCCTCAAACTTAAAAAAAAATTCTTTTAATAATTTTATTATTGCTTATGTGGTACTGAGGAACTGAACCCAGGGCCTCATGCATGCTAGGCAAGTGCTCTACCACTAAGCCACCTTGCCACCCTCAAACTTCTATACTGGGCAATCCGGTGATAGGTGGCATTTTGTAGATGGAATGCAGGAGGTTTTCTGCCCAGGTTGGCTATGAAACCTCCATTCTCTGAACTCAGAATCCCGAATAGCTAGGATTACAGATGTAAGTGACTGTTTTCTGGCAACTTTGCATGTTGCTAAAGAAAAACTTTAAGGAATGAAAAAGCCTATGGAGAAGAAATTTTTGAAGCAGATACCTGTAATCCTAGCTACTTAGGAGACTGAGACTTAATGATCAAAGTCTGAAGCCAGCTGGGACAGGAAAGTCCGTGAGACTTTTGTGTACAGTTAACCACCAGAAAACTGGAAGTAGAGCTGTGGGTAAAGTGGTAGAGCACTAGCCTTGAGAAAAAAAAAAAGCTCGGGGACCTCACTCAGGTCCTGAGTTCAAGCCCCAGGACCAGCACAAAAAAATAAGTAAAACAAAATAACATGGAGAAAGTCAAAAGCATATGGGGACGGGGGAGGACACTGAAGGAAGGGTAAGTTCTTAGGACATTTTTATTTTAGAATCTTGTTTCTAAATTAAAGGAAACCATAAAAAAAAAATCTCCACTCTGGTTCACCAGCTCAAACACTTGCAGACTTCAAGCTGCCAACCAAGGAGTCCCAACTAGAGAGATGGAGCCAGAGACACACAGCCTGGAATAGTGGCCCATAAGCCACAGTCACCCCACAGAAAGGCATGCTAAGCCACACCCACAGTTAGGCCACTCACTGTGGTGCTGGCCCATGGTAGAGATCTTAGTTATGTGAAGGCCTTGAGCTGCATCCCCAGCCCAAGAAAAAAACTGCCACATAATCTGTCCAACAAATAATTATAAATAATTCAGTTTCAAAAGTAAAAGCTAGCTGGGCACCTGTGGCTCACGCCTGTAATCCTAGCTACTCAGGAGGCTGAGATCTGAGGATCACGGTTCAAAGCCAGCCCGGGCAAGGAAAGTCCGTGAGACTCTTATCTCCAATAAACCACTAGAAAACCAGAAGTGGCGCCGTGGCTCAAGCAGTTGAGCGCTGGCCTTGAGCTGAAGAGCAGAGGGACAGCACCCAAGCCCAGAGCTCAAGTCCCATGACTGACAAAAGAAAAAAAAATGTAAAAGCTGATGAAAAGTATATGATCCCATTGTATAAAAACAAAACCAATCTACTCGGTGTTTGTAAATCTTTGTATCTACATTTGTCAATAAAAAATTCTCATAATAGGGGGCTGGGAAGGTGGCTCAGTGGTAGAGCGCTTGCCTTGCATGCTTGAGGCCCTGGGTTCGATTCCTCAGCACCACATAAGCAGAAAAAGCTGGAAATGGAGCTGACGTTCAAGTGGTAGAGCGCTAGCCTTGAGCTGAAGAGCTGAGGGACAGCGCCCAAGCCCAGAGCTCAAGTGCCACGACCAAAAAAAAAAAAAAAAAAATGTCATAAGGCTAGGAATATGGCGGGGCGCTCTTAACTCACACCTGTAATCCTAGCTACTCAGGAGGCTGAGATCTGAGAATTGAGGTTCAATGCCAACCTCATCAGGAAAGTCCATGACTCTTATCTACAATTAACCACCAGAAAACCAGCCGGAAGTGGTGGGACAGCGCCCATGCCCAGAGTTCCAGCCCCATAACCAACAACAACAACAAAATGCTAGGAATGCGGCTTAGTGGTAGAGCGCTTACCTGGCAGGCATGAAGCCCTGGGTTCTATTCCTCAGTACCACATAAACAGAAAAAGCCGGAAGTGATACTGTGACTGAAGTGATAGAGTGCTAGCCTTGAGCAAAAGAAGCTTGGGGACAGTGCCCAGGGCCTGAGTCCAAGCCCCAGGACTGGAAAAAATAAATTGTCATGAGCCAGGCTCATGGTGGCTCACACCTGTCATCCTAACTACTCAGGAGGCTAAGATCTGAGGATCATGGTTCAAAGCCAGCCCAGGAAGGAAAGGCCTTGGGACTCTTTATCTCCATTTAATTACTCAAAAACTGGAAGTAGAGCTGTGGCTCAAAAGTGATACAGTACTAGCTAACCTTGAGCAAAAAGAGCTCTGGGACAGCACCTGTGTTCTGAGTTCAGAACCACAACCACACCCCCTTCCCCCCCTCCCCCAAACAGTCATGACTTTAAAACCAATGTCATCACTGGAAAATAAGACAATCAGATCTCTCTCTTTCCACAGCAGTTAAGGTGAGCTTGGACACAGTCTTAGTGTCAGATTTTGCACTGAAATCACATGACTGCACACTGACCTTTGTACCCCACTTCCTTTGGTAAACAGCTGAGTAGCTGAACCATTAGTTTATCTCTAGTGCTACAGAAAGAGGGTCTCTCCTTCAAATTCACCATAGTAGTTAACTTTTTTGACTAATTTCACTGTATGTTTTTTTAAATATCATGAAATGTCACAGTCTAATTAAAATCGTGCATGTTTTGGAAAATGAGTCTTATGGGCAAAAAACTGGGACAATTGATTTCTATGGCTTCAAAACTAAACCAACGGATGGAAAAAGAAAATGCAGTAAGGTTACAACTCAAACAGCACAGCCACCACCGTCAGGAGGGCGCGCTGTCACCCAGGCACAGTCTGGAGAAGGGACATGGGCAGAGCTCAGGGTACCCCATCTCAGCACGGAAAGACATCGACTCTTCCATGTTCTCCCACATACATTCTTACGGCAGCCATGGCAAGAAGTCTCTGTGCTCTCGATCTGCCGCTCGAGCTCCACAGCTCGGACGCCAGGTGCCAGAGCGCTGCGACACACACCACAGAGAGGTTTCTTCGGCTTCAGACATTCCTGCAGGCATGCAGAGCAAAAGCTAGAACAAGACACACAGAGAACCTCTGTCATGCATTGTGGAGACAAAAAGACAAATGTGGCTCAACTCTTAACAGACACCAATGAAAAATGGACTAAAACCAACTAACTTCCCTGTGCCCAACTCAACACCAAGTCCTTCTAGGACAGACACGCTGCAGTGGGGTCTACCAACACAAACCAAGTGCCATGCTACCTGGCCAGAGGTGTAGCCAAGGTTTAAAACCTCAGCACCTACACCAGCACAGGAGACTAAGGGTTCTCTCCTGTGGAACAAAGACGCAGTTCCTACCACCAGGGCTGCTGCAGGGACGTGCGGTGAGCACACATGGAACACACAGTAAATGGGAAATGGTATCAGAGAGGTGAGAGCAAAGCAGCATGGGAACACAAGGGCAGTGGCAGCTAACGGCAGCTAGCTGTAACCCAGGCTCGGGCTGGCAGCCCTGCAGAGGCGGCCCCCATGACCAGCCTTCAGAGGCTGCAGTTGGTGGAGCAAGAAAACAATCCCAGGCTCGAAGGCTTAAGACACACAGGCACTTGAGGAAATGATTTTTCCTCAAAAGCCAACTATCCACGCTTCAGAAAAATAACTGGTGCTTTGTGAAGAGAGTTTTTAGTGTGTTTTAAGGCGAGGAAAGATGAGCGGAGACCAAGTGCAAACCCAGCAGGATGACTAAAGCAGGGCTGTGAAGGACTGACCGCAGCACCAAGAAGGACCCAGGAAATGATTCAGGCATGGAGGCAGCGTGACCTGTGACTTACTGAAGTCAAAGATGACAGGCCTTCCGCCCTGAAGCCAGGCAGGTGGTGACACTGAGATCGGGTAGAAGGAATGGACAGCAAAGCATGAAGCTGCACTGGGCAAGCTGCCCAAGCTAATAGACTTTTAAAGCAGCTTTAGCAAATCTGCCAGGAGGGCTAAGATGAGGGAGTGGGAGGCTTCAAGTTCAATTCTTGCTACCAGCAAAGGGAAAAAAAAGGTAATCTGCAACTTGATGTTTTACTTTCTTATTTCTCATTTTCTTTCCTCTCAACAACCTTCCTCTATCATTAAGCTATACATCCATGCTGCTAGGCAAAACTCCAGGCCAGGCTGGGTGGGTGGGTGGGGTGTAAAAGGATCTGTTCATTCACCCCTGCGGACAGGGTGGAGCCGAGACCCAAGCCTCTGCTAAGTTCTAAGTGGAGGAAGGTGCTCACGTTCATTTCATTGACTACACACAGGAAGGAAGTAAATCAAGGCAGAGTTGGGGGGGGGGTGCCTGGACCGCAGCACTTCACAGAGACCTGACTGTGAAGGCAGATGTGGACACGGATGCAGAGTGCCAGACAGCTGACACCACACGCCAAGCTGTGTGTGGAGGGCAGAGAGCAAGATCTGTGGGGCTGTGATGTGTGACTACTTGGAGAAAAGACAAAAGCATAAGCAATGGGCAGGTAGGAAAGGCAGACAAGGGTAACCAAGAGGGTACTGAAAAGCCAACCCCAGCTACTGAGGGCAGCCCAGTGTACCCTCCGCGTAGCATGGCACAGCTCCCCAAATGGTCACAAGCCCCTTTATGACCAAACGATGCCCACACAACCCTGTTTCTAGACTGTGTGTCTTGGGCCAGCTTTCAGTTTCTACTTCCTATTAGCACTTTCCAGTTCAGCCTTCTAGATGCCCTACCCTTTCTGCCACAGGGCTGTTTCGAAATTCCCTTTTCTTGGGCACCTCGCCACCTTCCCTACTCCAGACGGAGGAGGATGGAGGCGTTTGGGGCTGCTACACGCCACAGACGCAGGGCCACCAAACTCCCGACTCCAGTGGGGAGAGCAGAAAGCATGGGGGTAGATCTCAGGGAGGGCTTTCGGTGTGGTCATCTGTCTTCAAGCAGCACTGGGCTGCCGGAGGTGAGACCGGTAACCGGTGCTCATCCTGCCCTTTGCCCCCCGCCCCGGGACAGGTTCAGCCGGCTCAAAGAAATCTGCAAGAGTGCTTTTTGATTGGGTCAAGAGTTTCCTAAACGTGAATGCCCACCCGCCCCGGGGCGCACTGCATCTGCCCCGGGGCAGAGCCACCAGCCTCGGACCCCAGCGGCCGCGCAGTGGGCACGGGGGGGGG